CGACATTCTAATTTATTGAGATGCACCTGTATAAACTTTTAAGAATAACAAATGCTGCCATATATTACATATAAACTTTTAGTCATCTCGCCAGTACATTATATCAGTAAACATTTACATACACTTACAAATGCAATCATCTAAACCACAAAGGAACTTGATAACCATTTCCTCCATTTGTTTTCAAAGATTTACATTTGCAGCTGAAGTTTAGGCTATATGTGAGTCTTTTAATTTCTCTAACCTCTGTTACCATTTGGAAACGGTCTTCTCTTGTAGGTGGGTATCGCCTTTTTACTTGTTGCCAGTAAAAATTGTAATAAATATTTGTCATCTTTTCCAACCTCATCTGGAATACCTCCCAAATATAAAACATGAAATGATTTTGGCATATGTAGAGTGAAAATACTATTAATAGTAGGCCATACAACCTCCCAAAAACTATTCACCTTTAGACATTGCCAAAATAGATGTGTCTGATGGGCTTTTTCTACCCCACAGTTCCTCCAGCATGGGTGCGAAGTTCTCGTTTCTAATTCCTTCATTCTTGGTGTGATAAAAAAGCGAGTCAGATTTTTCCAACAAAACTCACACCACATTCTTGAGCTTGTTGAGGTATGTGGGATAGTACATATTTTATTCCATTGATCAGGTCACAAGGAATTGCCAATCTCTTTTCCCCATTTTAATCTTATATATTCTATTGAATGATTCCTCGAATTAACCCCCACAAGGAGCCTAATAAACCAGAGCTGCACTGATTTAATTTCTTTAGAAGCAAAAAGGTTTAAGTGAACAGGACCTGTATAGGCACAAAACACTGTATTATTATGTTGCAAGAAACCCATTGGACCTCAAAACAAAATTAGCCAGATCAGCTGAATGAACATTTCCACAAAGATATGACAGACCTCTGCTTGAAAGAGAGGAAGGAAATGTCAACATTGCTGAAACTGAGTTGACCTCATGATCATAGTAAACTAAATGCAGTCAAAATTGATGTGCACTCTTTACTTTTCTCTGCTGTAATATTCGCCACGGTAAGCAAATTCACTGCTCTGCAATTACACTCTTAAAAATAAAGGTGCTTCAAAAGGTTCTTCAAGCGATGCCATAGAAGAACCATTTTTGGTTCCACAAAGAACCATTCAGTCAAAGGTTCTTTAAAGAACCATCTCTTTCTTACCTTTTTGTAATCTGAAGAACCTTCTTTCACCACAAAGAACCTTTTGTGAAACAGAAAGGTTCTTCAGATTTTAAAGGTTCTTTATGGAACCATTTAGACAAAAAGGTTCTTCTATGGCATCGTGAAGCACCTTTATTTTTAAGAGTGCAGAAGGGAGTTACACAGCACATGCACATTGATCTAGCAGTCTAAGCAGCTCATATTTGGGGTTAATATTAGGCTGTGTGCTGGCAGTAGAACTTCAAACCTTTTCCTGTGAAAATTATCATCACAGATCCATAAACAGGAAAATGACCAATCAAAAGGACCACATTTTATATCATGGATGTCAATGCACCCATTCATCTTGTTCAGAGCTTTAAGCGCAAAAAAATCATGTGCCTGACATGAGCCAGCTGAAGACAGGGGTGCTATTTACAGAGCCATGACACCACCAAATACATGAGACCAAGGATTACCTTACAGTACCATGCTATGGTGTTACCATTTCACAATGCGTTACAATTCTTTTGAACTTACTTCATAAATGACACTGCAAAACAAGGCACCATGCGGGCCTCTTCTGTTTCAGAGGCAGCTCATAGAGAGAGAGTAGTACTTCATCTTACCTGCTAGAGTGTAGTCCATATCAAAGCCAAAGCATTTTATCTTCTCCATTGCCAAACTTCTATTGACAAAAACTCTGCAGAGATAAAAACAGAGGCAATTTAAGACAAATGTCATTGATATTTAATATGCTTTCAGTTGCAAACTGTGTTAAATTCAGCAGACTGTATTATTCCATTGCCTTCAGCACAAGCCATGAGCTGTTCAGCTCTATGGGAGTTTATGTTAATGTAGATAATGAGTTACACTGACGTATTGTGACCTGTGAAAGCAATAATTCAGAATTAATACATTTGGTTAAATTATATCTATTACTATTTCGGCCAACAGCAGCAAAGTATGAGGTGGAGCAAATGGCACGGTAAAATTCCTTGATTTCCAGTTAAATCAAGTTTTTCAGCAGAATGCTGCACAATAAAATACAAATCTAAAAAAAATCATAGTCTGCTGAACACATCTGTTTTACAAACCAGAAAAACATAATTTTCTGATGAAAATAACACCCCTCTGTTAATATCAATTTCTCTATGAAATTAACTGATACATGAAAAATAACAGCGCTATATGAAAGGTTATGATTGATCATAATTATTATTAGCCAACCAAAATACACCCTTAAATACAAATACTTGCATTTGGACACCTTTGAGACTTTTAATTGTCAGTTAAGGGATAAAAAGTAAAAACCTTGCTATTTTAAAGTTAGTATTTTTAAGTTAAATTTATACATCTGTTATTGTATTTCACATTATTTAAAATTGTGCTTTGGTCAGTTATTTTCCAAATGATGTTAAAACAATTATTTTTCTTTTAATTCACCTGATGCTGGTATATCTTTATCCATCTATACATTTGCAGTGAAACATTAAAAATGTAGCTGAATTTACACTAGGAACAAATGAGCTGTTAAATGATGCGTTAAGAGCATGAAGGAAGGAGATATAGCTGGGGGAAGGGAGAATGAAGGAATGATCTCACAGATTCAAATCCCATCACAGGTCTTCCTATGGACACCTACATACGGTCACAGCACAGTGCAAAAGCATTGATGAGCACATGGGAGAAAAAAACATCAATTATCAAACAGATGATCAGTCAGCACTGCAGGTCAACAACATACCTCATAGAAGGATGACAGTGGGCCAGTTCCTGTGGTAAGCTTTGTAATAAAGGAATACATGGACTATATATTACATCAGTACACATCAGCTAATGCCACTACATGAAGAACTGTGTCTAGTAAACTTTTCAGGACATTTCAGGTCTTCTTATCATTGGATTTACTTTTTATATTGCACTTTGTGACTGCAATGATAGTTTTTCTGCAGAAAACTATGATAAGTCAACAAATTTACAGCATAGCCTGCATGTAAATAAGGATTATGAAATGACTGTTTGCCATGAAAAACACAGCATTTTAGGAACTTGCAAGTATTATGCTGACAGGCCAAATTAACCTGCCAAAAGGCATGAGTAAATATAGCATATTAAACATTGGATATGAGTATCATAATGTGCAGATACACTGTTACAATGATCATTTAAAAGGTAATTTTTTATTTAATAATTGAAAATATTCAAAAGTTGGGCACAGTGAGAAAACAATTAATTATTTTGATTGAGCAAAAAGCTTACAATACACAACCTTTGCTTAAATCACATGCAAGCTGACATTTTCAGACAAACAGACGTATAAACAGGTGCATCCACAGAACAACATGATGGCATGGAAAAGTAAACATGCTACACGCCATATTTAATTTTAAATAAAAAAAGACAATTACAAGTCTACAATTCCTTTTGATTAAACATTGGATATGAGTATCATAATGTGCAGATACACTGTTACAATGATCATTTAAAAGGTAATTTTTTATTTAATAATTGAAAATATTCAAAAGTTGGGCACAGTGAGAAAACAATTAATTCTTTTGATTGAGCAAAAAGCTTACAATACACAACCTTTGCTTAAATCACATGCAAGCTGACATTTTCAGACAAACAGACGTATAAACAGGTGCATCCACAGAACAACATGATGGCATGGAAAAGTAAACATGCTACACGCCATATTTAATTTTAAATAAAAAAAGACAATTACAAGTCTACAATTCCTTTTGGAGTCTTAAAGTTATTTGTTCTATGTCCTCAAAAGCATTGTGCACATAAAATGTAAATATCTCAATGAGAATATGTCTTCATTATTGACCATAATCTTAACTGGAGTAGAGACCAGGTCATTTAAAGTAATTGTCTCCAACCGTTGCTACTAGAAATATATATATACCAAGTAGGCATTTACATGTTTCGTTTTGTTTATATGTAGGTTATTTAACAATTAATTTGTTTTCACGTTACCAAGAGAGTACATGATTTGATTTAACCAAATTAATGGCAATGGCCTTCAAAGCTGAAAGCATTAGTGAAATGTATTAATACCTCTGTTGCACCTCTCTTCTGTACTTCTTCACGGATGAACCGTCCATGTTGGCAGGAAGGTCTGCATAATTCTGGAGCCGATCACTCCAAGAGGTTGTCATCTTTAACCAGTATAGGTCTGAGAAAGAAAGCAAAAACTTAAAAGAGATTTTTTTTTTATGCAGCACAGGCAGATGGCAGAACACAGTGAATTTGAATATACACAGCACTGGTTTAGTATCTCAGAGGTTAAATTTCCACCACATTTAATTGTTGCAAAATAGCCCTGTAGGTGATATGCAAACCTTAACAACAAAGGACCAGACACATTCAAACTATTTTAAATAGAATCTCAAAATGTTCATGATCATTACATCTATTCTAAAGCTACACTTATAATCATTTTATTTCAGTGTAACAGTATTTCCTGTATCAAAGATAAACAGCCATAACACACAATACAGAAAGCTGCCTGAAACAATGTTTAATATGCAGCACAGGCAGATGGCAGAACACAGTGAATTTGAATATACACAGCACTGGTTTAGTATCTCAGAGGTTAAATTTCCACCACATTTAATTGTTGCAAAATAGCCCTGTAGGTGATATGCAAACCTTAACAACAAAGGACCAGACACATTAAAACTATTTTAAACAGAATCTCAAAATGTTCATGATCATTACATCTATTCTAAAGCTACACTTATAATCATTTTATGTCAGTGTAACAGTATTTCCTGTATCAAAGATAAACAGCCATAACACACAATACAGAAAGCTGCCTGAAACAATGTTTAAAGGGGTCATATGATGCGATTTTAATTTTTCCTTTCTCTTTGGAGTGTTACAAGCTCTTGGTGCATAAAGAAGATCTGTCGGTCGTGCTGTTCTCAAGCCCGCCACCTCTGCTCACTCTAACCCTTCCACCGTTCCTCACACTAGCCCCCGGCCTCGGCTCACTGTAGGCTGCGGTGTGTGACGCTGTGTTTCGTTGTGAAAGCGAAACTACTTTGTTTGGCCTTCCAAAAATGGACACGACTAGAAATCAGTGGTTAAGTTGTATTTACAACACTGTTCCAGAACACTTCAACCCAAATATTCAGATGTGTGCAGCACATTTTATGGAGGAGTTTCCTGATCCTGGAAGAGTAGACTCCAATGCCGGCTGTTCTGGCTCACAGACTGTAAGTACGCATTTTATATTTAAAGAGTTTTTATATTTATATATTTAAAGTGAGTTTTTGGGCAGTGTAGTGTAGGGCTTGTTGTTTGTCATTTCTCCGATCACAAATGCAGACATGGTTTTATGTTTACGCGGCGCGATGCAACGCAACGCGTAAAAAGACAGTAAGTAAGCAAGTCAATATAATCCATAATTATGTCCCCACTGGATGCAACGAATGCCTCGTTTATAATGGGTTTTCATGTTTTTGAATCATCGCTCCAGCCGGACAGGGCATCACAGTATGGTGAGGTGCGTAACATTTCCGTCACACGCTTGAGGTATTCGGCCAATCACAACGCACTGGATAGCTGGCCAATCACAGCACACCTCGCTTTTTCAGACCGATGAGCTTTGTAAAAATCGACGCGTTTCAGAAAGGCGGGGCATAGAGGAGAAACAATAATGTACAGTATGTGGAAAATAATGTGTTTTTTAACCTTAAACCGCATAAACACATTTCATTACACCAAATACTGTTCTTTTTAGCAGCATCATATGACCCCTTTAATTAAACCAATTACAAAGTACCAGGTTTATGATACATATTTTTAGATACCCCTTAAGAAACTACTTCTCTAATTGTAACACTAAAGGACAGCTCACAGAAGCCGCACAATGTAGCCTATTTTTTATTATTTTTTCTCAAATACCAAAATAAATGTATTTTTTGGCAGAACGAGCCGTCCAGACTCGCTGGCCTCTGTCAGCAAGAGATCCGGGATCTGCGAGCCCAGGTGGACGAGTTGAACAATGAAAAATCTCACATTCTCATTGAACGAGATAATATCGACGAAGACTCGCAGAAACTCCGAGGCAAGTTTGAGGATGAGATCCGAGCGCGCGAGGAGGCAGAGCTGACGCTCAGATCCTACAAGAAAGATGTGGAGGATGCCACCATGGTGCGCGTGGACCTGGAGAGAAAGGTCGAGTCCCTCTTGGACGAGATCAATTTTATGAGGAAAGTGCATGATGAAGAGGTGACGGAGTTGACTAGTATGATCCAGGCAGCCCAGATATCTGTGGAAGTAGAGTTATCCAAGCCGGATCTGACCTCGGCCCTCAAAGAGATCCGTGGGCAGTATGAAACCCTCGCGTCTAAGAACCTTCAGTCTGCCGAGGAATGGTACAAATCAAAGTTCACCAGCCTCAACGAACAGGCCACTAGAACCAACGAGGCCATGAGAGCCACAAGAGAGGAGATCAACGACTACAGGCGACAACTACAGTCCAGAACCATTGAAATCGAAACCTTGCAAGGAACAAATGAGTCACTTGAACGACAGATCCGCGAGATGGAAGATGCACACAATGCCGAGGTCGCAGGTTATCAGGTAGAAACATAAAAATGACATATCATTTTGGAGTTAAGCATGTATGAAAATATAACTCAATTTAATAATAAAAATAAAAATATTTATTTAAAGAAGGAAAAGAGAGAAAAAAGTTCCATTTCTATCTATCTATCTATCTATCTGTCTATCTGTTTATCTATCTATCTATCTGTCTGTCTGTCTGTCTGTATATCTGTATATCTGTATATCTGTATCTAGGTAGACATATTTTATTTAAACAATAATGTATTATTCTTGAGAAATCCCCCTTCAGGTTTTTTGTTTTTTTACTTATTTTATATTTATATTATATATTATGTATTTGCATTTATTTTGTATTTATATTAATATATAAAGGAAAGCATGTTTTATGTGCTCTGGCTGGTTTTCACCATTTTTAATCAACGTTTTGCCTTCATTAGTTATTTTTAATAGTCCTGCAGCAAGCATTATCTCTCTCCCTCTTAGACTGAACCTCAGACACTCCAGAGTTTTTGTGATAATGGCTTTAACAAAGAGTCCCATACAGGTGACTAGACTCTAATACATATGAGGTGAAATATGCTTCCTAACATTTAGGCTAAACTAATAATTTGTGTGTAAATAAGAGTGTCTCAATTTGAAATCAGCAGCACACAAACAGAACATCAGTGTCATAAAATATTTCCCAAAACTAAAAAGATGACTAAATGAAAAGGGATGCATAGTATTTATATGAAATGAGTATCTAGCTATGCGCATTTTAACATCTTGTTGTAAAGCTGTTTTAAAAATGAAGACGACTTAAATTACAATATTGCAAAAGATGAAAAAAAACATTTGAAAGATCTTTCCCCCCAAAGGCCTCGTAATAACACAATATGACTCAAACCATACATAAAGATTTCAATCTAAAATGAACAAAGACAACCAGAAACACTTAAACACCCCTAGAAGAGTTAAGGAGAGAAAGACAGTAAACCAAACAAACATCTTCATTGCTGTTCAGAATTAAATACTTAATTTAGGTACTGCCCAGGTACTTAAGTGAATTATTTCTTTCAATACTGATTTAATTTTTGTAAGCTGAACTTGAGGCACAACAAAACCAAGCAATAAAACAATATGTCAAACAATATATTCTTAGCGACAAGGTGTAAAATAATTACTTACTCTGTGTTTTTATTAGCAAATGTATAAAAGAGCATTCACAGAACCCTCACCGCTGTGGAAATTGTAACCAAAAATCAGTCATCCAAACAAACAAACACGCAGTATATTTTGGAAATAGCTCATTAGCTCTGTTTCTTAATGCATTTGCTCAAAGAATGCTGCCATATTCTTAATCTTTTTGAGCAGAAGGCAACCAGGAAGACGAAGGATCACTGCATAGGATAACTGTTATATGATAAAATTCAGTTTAGCCCTTGAAATAAAACCATTGTACAATGCAAATTTCACAGTAGTTGGTCTTTCTGTGTCTTCCCTCTTTACTGAGCAGGTAGAACGAGTCCGAAATGCAGAACCAGCATGCCATCCTAAAAAGGGAAAATAAGAAATGTAAGCATTTACATTACGGTTTAAAAGTTCTGGGTCAGCAAGAATACAATTTAAAAAATTAAAACTTTAATTCAGCAAGGACTCATTAAATTGACAAAAAGTAAACGTAAAGAATTTTACATTGTCAGTGATGATTTCTATTTCAAATAAATGTTGTTTTTTTGGAACTTTATATTCAAAGAATCCTGAAAAAATTTATCAGTTTCCACAAAAACATTAAGCAGCTCAACTGTTTTCAACACTGATAATAATAAGAAATGTTTCTTGAGCAGCAAATCAGCATATTAGGAAGGATCATGTGACATTAAAGATTGGAGTAATGACTGCTGAAAATAACAATGAAATTACATTTTGATGTCAGATTAACCACAATGGATTATCCCAGATGTCATTCGAAAAATAGCGGTCACATACAACACATAGAACGAAGCAAGAGACTTTAAAGAGACCTGTCTGTCTTTTTTACTTTAAAATGCTTTTTTTAAGAGACAGCAGCACTTGAGGCTGCTAAGGCTCTAATGTAATGCTGTGTGAAGGGCGAGACAGGAACTGTGTTAAGGCGCCTGTTTTTCACACTTATTAACAGCTTACATGAGGCTCATTCTCTCTAAAAACATCTCAATGATACTGAACAATCCTTAAAAGGATAGTTCTCCCATTTTTTGTCCCAAAATGTTGTCATCTCAAGTAGTTCCAAACCTGCATGAGATTTTTTCTTCTGTTGAACATAAAAAGGTATTTTGAACAGCTGCTGGCTGACTTCCAAAGTAAGGTAAAAAAAAGTCAATGGGGAACAGAAACCGTTTGGTTACCCATTCTTTAAAATACCTTCTTTTGTGTTACTCATACAGGTTTGGAACTACATGGCGGTGAGTTTTTGAGACATTTTTGGATGAATTGTCCTTTTAAGCAATTCTTTGTGCCTCTAGCCATTTTATTTTTTTTTTGCAAAAAAATATAATAGATGAAATAACATAAAAAGGTGAGAGGTACATTATATCAGACACCCACCTGCAATGCATTTTTTCCCATGGTGTTACAAACTTCTCTCAAAGACTGGCATTGCTCAAGAAGATGGTCTCCACACACAACATCAACCTGCCAAATGAAGTAGAATGTAAATGTTCATGTAACTTTTCTTTTTCTATCGGTCATATCATCAATACCAATGCTTTAAGCCTGATCACTTTAGGAAAGTAATAGGGATTCTTGCATTAGCAAACATCACTAATAAAAGTTGAATTCCAGTGGGTACAAACTTTTTAGAAGACTTTTTCAGTGACCCTAAAATGCCAGATGGAAATACACTTTAAGCCTTCATATGCATATACAATACAGCCTCAGGGTACTCCCAAAATGATTAGACAATTTTTAGAGTCTAGTATGTGGAGCAGGGCACAGTGGGCTATCCTGGAGCCAGGCACACAAACCTGCGTGCCTCCTCTTTCACCTCTATCCTAGTAGATGTCCCTGGCACTATGAGGTGTTCCTCACCGAGCCAGATCAGTCTTAGCTAATCAACACTGAGTGACTGGACGCCAGGAAAAACCCTTAAGTCAGTAATCCAGATATGACTGTTAGCCTCACAACATGCAAGCAGCCATTACTAACTGCTTACATGTGACTATAGATCACAATACTGCAATTAATGTTAATTACACAAACAAAAAAGCAAAATTGTGAAGCTTATCATTTTATAATAGCATATTAATTCTGATTAAAAGTGAGCTGCCATTGCAACAAAATTGTAAAATTAATTTTACACAGTAAAATACATTAATAAAACATAATACAATAAGCATTTTTTACATTAATATCATGTCAGCATTACAGATTGGCACCATTCATTCACTTCCATTGTATGTGCCTCACAGTTTTCAAGACAGGAGGGAGAAGTGTAAATCAACATTATTTATCAACATTATGCCACAAATGCTGTCAGTCGAGCTAAACTTGAATTGAACCCAGAATACATCTTTAAAATGCCCCAAATCACATGTATACATACTATAAACAAATAACAATGAAAATAATGTAAATACGTAAGTATATTTCTGTGAATCTGTGAATCTGTGTGTTAAAGTTTATTTTATTTAGTTTATTTTAAGGTGTCCTTGTTACAGTGTAATTATACAATTAAGTATTGGGTAATATTAATTACTACTAACATATACCTATTATAGGGTTAAGATTAGGATTAGAGTTTGGTTTAGGGTTAGATGTTTGTAATTATGCATACTTACCTTTAATTACTATAGTAAGTACATGCAACATATAGTATGTAACGAGGACACTGTAAAATAAACAGTGTCCAGTTACCAGTTAAAAATATGGCTCTCAAATTGGAGAAGTCCGTGAAAGTCTGCAGAAGTGACAGCTGAAATATATATATATATATATATATATATATATATATATATAAAAAACAGCACTAGATTTTCTTTTCAAACATAATTTCTGTTATTCACAACCACAGACAGTAATTTCTATGCTCGACTGAGCTGTGGATCTTTTCAAGGACTCAAATCCTTATTAAGAATTGGGATTAAGGGGAAACTAATTAAACAGCAATGTGGCAGGATTGTGAAGTATGACAGAGTCACTGAAACTTTGAGAGGGAAAGGGAACATCCTAATAACATAATTTATTTAATCACACTTTTACATGATAACCTCATTGTGGAAACCTAAAGAGGACTAGCGATTTTGCTGAATTTAGTCCACTAAGGAGTGAAAAAAGAACAATTCTGCATCAAATGACTCAGCATATCTTTGCTCTGATGTGAAGGGTGGCGTCTGATTCATTCTGCCCGTCCCGTCAGTATGAATTATTGAGTGACTGACACAGCTGGGGGGTGCGCTGCTCACCCCACATTTCTTTCCCACCTCTGACATTGCTGACCATCTGAGGCAGGATTTATGCGTCTGGTTTAATGAAAACAAGCTGTTTAAGACCAAGAACTTACCCTGATACAGAGTGTGGTTTAGGATTCAAAATACACTGCGGGTGATATTAAAGATAAAGGGGGGGGGGGGAAATCTGTATTTCACCTTGCAGTTTTGACTCAGTTCCATCTTCCTCCTGATAAAAAGCTCCACATGACGGACAGTGGCTTCCCCTGACACACGCACATACTTCCTCTCAAGGGGCTTGAGTGAGAAAATATAATCAGGATATTAAAAAAGGAAAATCAGCCAGGCCTACAGCACAATTTCAGCTCAATTCTACACAATGATTAAAGTGTTTATATTAAGCATAAATAATACTGCAATGTGTTTCCTTAATATAAAGTACATTATTTTTTGTGAGTACACAAATAAACAAAGTACAAAAATATCAATATTGCAATACTGACAAAATATGAATATTACCTTATAGTTCTCAATACCCTCTTCAACTCTGTAAATCAAAGATATGTAAAAATAAAGATTAGATTAAACATTTACAGATTACATATTTTGTGTAATAAATCAAATAATTTATAAATAATAGGCGGGCTTTTACAATTGTGCAAAATCAGAGCACATGGCAAGTGGTTCTCAGGAGGGGCTTTGAATACTGTGTTGGACAATGGGAGGCCTTTCAATGAAAAACGTTGAAAATCTTTTGATTTTTGACTGTTTAGCTCTATCTAGTGATGATACACAAAATAACCTGTCTGGCATTCAGAAAACTTAAATTCAACAAAATCAAAATTTACCCTTTTTACTTAACGCATGTTGCGGGCCTTTCTGAATGATTCATGGTGCGTGTTATTGCAAAAATGAAACCTGTCTTTGCTTTTTTTTTATATATCAAAAGACATTACATTTACATAAAGTCAGCTGAAAGCTCTAGAACCTGAATGACATCAGTGATATACGCAGAATCACAAATGAACATTACTGACCCCACAAACTCCAACATCAGAGACACATCTAGCTCTGAGGGAATGGTAAAAACAGACTGAGGCAGCATGTCTTTCTTCTGTCTCTGAGGCGGCTTCACTGGGTATGTAGCTGGAGATGCCACTGGGAGGGGGGAAGAAAGAAAAAAGATTGCATCATAAGCAAAATAGATTAATATTTCTCAGCATCACCTATGTACTACAACACATATATATATTCGAAGAATAAACTTCAGTTGAATGATTGCATGAACAAACCTGACTTAGGAACGTCAAGCCCTCTCTGTTTATAAAATGCATATATTCGCGACCTTTCATCTGAAGAAGAAAAAACACAACATAGTGTGTGTTGTTTATGTTTCTCACATATATTTCAAATGACAGAATGGGACAACAAAAGTGTATCAAGAAAGAGTTCAACATAAACTCACTAACCTTCTTCCAAGTACGGCACCATCTTGAAAACAATGTCTTGTAACTGTCTGTCAGGTCTAATAGAGAAAAAGGGATGAAATTTGACGCCCATGCTAAAACATGTCCAGTAATTAAACACTAAAGCATACAAGAATCCCTAAAGACCCCGGGACATATGTGAGGCTGTTATTGCTAGGCAGCAGTAATCAGACACAAGGGATGGTCTCAAACATAACAGCTAGACTAAATCTCTAGTGACAGACCAAAAGCGGTAAACAACACTACGCCCTATACGCCCAGTTTGCTAAAGTTGAAATTGACAAAAACAGTATTAATAAAAAAAGACTTCAATAAAACTAAAGTTACCTGATACTGTACATTGGCTGTGTCTGGTGCACAACAATGGAGCAGTTAGGACACCTGTTGCTGTAGAAAAAGTGCTTGACAATGCAGCTCTTACAAACTGTGAAAGGGGAAATAAACAGGCATGATTCAAAACACTGTAAAGATCACAGATTATATGAAAATATGAAAAGAAAAATTCGATTTATACCACTACACCGGTGGGAAATACAGACTTACAAGTGTGAAGACACTCTGTGATGGTGGTGGCATCAATGAAAAATCCATTGCAGAGGGCACAGCGAATATAGGGATAAAAATCCCTAAGAGGCAAAGAGCGCTTTAAACAAAACAAACATTAATTAAACATTAAACAAACATTAAATTAAAATAAATTAATTTTAAAACATACAATTTATATATATATATACACACACACACACACACACACACACACACACACACATACACACACACACATATGTATGTGTATAAAGATCCACGTTTTCAAAAAACATACGTGTATACAATATACTACATTTATACATAATTATTCATTTTACCTCATATTCCTCATTTAAACGCTCATATACAACTTACAAATAAGTAAGTTTAAGTATATAAGTACTAGTATTAATATACGTATATTTTATTTACATATAAAACACACACAAACATATTTATTAGGTGATTGATTCTTATATGCGATAAAACAACTTTTATAGCCTACAAGCGCAAGTAATTTTGAAATAAAAACTCGACTAATTTTCTTATTTAGTGTTGTACCTCGTCGTCAGGATGTTGTTCATGAGTTCTCTGGCTGTGGTCGGTGTCACGGCTCTCATCCCCTCCGCTCAGGGAAGCGTCTGTCCGAAAGAACCCACGCGTGGATCCCTCCTCCACAGTTCCGTCCATAGTGCACGCAAAGACTGAAGCCCTTAAAACAACTGCAAGAGAGCAACTACGATTACCTGTCTGCTCTCTCTGGATTGGTTGGACGACTTCATTCACGATGAATAACAAAGAGTTAATTTTTATGTACAAGTTTAGAAACACTTCAATCTACTTGTGCACCTTCACGGTGTGCGCGAAATACTCCAGTGACTCAGTGTAATGAGGATAGAATAAAAGTCCCCAAAGGAACGAATAAATTAATGGCTAAAAAAATAAATATAAAAATTTATAAATATGTATGTGTATGCATATATATATATATACACACACACACACATTAATATATATATATATATAATATATAGTTCTATCGATCTACTTGACTCACCCAGAACCACAGAGATCCAGGGGCATCTGACTTAACTTACTTATCACATACTTATTGGACGGTTAATTAAAAAAAACTGAATTCATTTGAAACGCTATATCGACTAGGCGTTTCCATGAACTGCACCAACACACAATATTTTGAAAAATAAAAACAATATGATATTTTCGTCATAGTAAAAATAGGAGCCGTTGAAAACCTAAAAGCGTTGTTTTAACGGCTCTGGTGAAAAAATAGTTGACATATTCGCCTTTTTGAGCAGTTTAAGAGGTTTATCAATAAGTTGAAATACTGAACGCCAAAGCAAAGCCTTCATTAAAGCTTGTATTATATAGTTGGCTATTTTTGAAATGTATGTTAATGTTATGTTTTTATCTTATGTGTGTATTGTTTTGCTAAATAAAGCATGACAATGGTGAAATTCTTTTCGAATGGAGTTTCTTTCTGAATGGAAGTTTTCTACCCTCTACCGGCGCAAGAGGAAAATGACATGACAACAAAGATGGCGGCGCCTATGAGCAACGTGGATGAAATTCGTGATATTGGGTGAATTTGGCGTAAAAAATGTAAGTTATATATTTATATAATATTCACTGTGTTTATGTCGACATAGGCTGTTTCATTGTTAATTTAAGTAACCCTTATTTAATAATATAACGTTGCACATGTCAAGCAGGTTTCTCCGTACTTCAAACTGCAGTGATTGTTGTTTATTAGATTTATATGATCACGTTTATTATTGTTTATTAGAGGGTATTCCGGTAAGCTACATATAAAACCACTATTTACTGTATATACAGGTCCATACTACAGATTATCCAGGAAATTAAAAGCCCCTAAAGACTCTTCAGATCCCAAGGAGTTATATCTCAATCACATGGGTGAGTAAAAATATGGTTTACTTCATTTAATTAAGCTTTTTTTTTTAGATGCAAAAATTAAAAATTTAAGTTTACTTCATAATTGTCATTTAGCTTTTTTGATGATCAATTATCCACCCTCTCTCTGATCCTTAGAATAATATTTTTAGCTGCTGTGCCTTAGGAAAGTTATTTAAATGTTTTAAAAAAGCGATTGTGATGTAAATGCAAAAAAAGAGAAAAGCTCCAGGTTTGATGTGCTTGTTTGTACGGCAGCACAATTTGGCCAAATAATGAAAAATAATAATTATTAATAAACAATAAATAATAAGTAATAATATAATAATACTTTTATTTTACAGTACAACTATTTAATTTGTATTAAAACAGTACAACTTTTATTGTACAGTACAGTTTATATCTTACTTTATTTTCAAATGTTAAACTATTGTGCAAAAAAAACAAAAAACACGGGGAGCCATTTAAACTTCTCTTTGGTGACAACAACCTGTTTATAACTACTTCTCATTACAAGTTTGGGAAGTTGGTTGGCCTATATTGTGTTCCCAAATGTTATAAGAGACCCAAACTCAGAACTCAAATGCCGGATCAGAAGCTGCTTGCGTGTAAATGAACACAGTGCTGCACTTCTCTCTGAAACACACAGCACATGTATTTATTGAATTAAATCACAGCTTTTGCAGTTTGATAAACACACTAAACCATATCATGATTTAATCGGTTTTGTTTAGATTATTTGTGCAGCCCTATGTGCAACACAAAAGATGTAAGGCAGAATGAAAGTTTCAGTCACCATTCACTTTCCTTGTGTGGAAAAAAGATTCAATGAAAATAAAAGGTAAGGTGACCTAGACTGCCTAACATCTGCCTAGCTAATTTTGTGTTCCAAGGAAAAAAGTACAAGTTTGGAACAAAGTGAGAATGTGTAAATAACGGCAGAATTTACATGCATATTATTTGCTAACCATGACAAATCTTTTTGTTTATCACTGTCCTGTTTACAGTACGTCACTAAACTCTTGTGTTTGGTTTCAGTCTACTCGGGTGACACAAAATGGCTCCCAATTGGAAACCAGGCCGATGTGTTTGCAGATGCCAAGATTGGTCCTGTGCATGGGGACATTCTCCTGGCACAACTTTGACCAGTGCAGGAACTTGATATAGTCATGCACTGTGTCAAAGGAATAGGTAAGTAATATAAGAGGCTCCTGACCAATTTCATTTCCATTGAAGCATATGTATTTTTCTTTAATTCAGGTTTAGTTATCATATAACTCCAACATCCAGTCCCCAGTTTCCTGTATATTTATAAACTTTGTGATTAACTGCAAAGTTTCTTTGCACCTCACAGGCAAGGATCATGCCAAGTTTTCTCCTGTGGCCACTGCAAGCTACAGACTTCTTCCTGAAATCACAATATTACAGACCATTGAGGGAGAACAAGCAGAGAGGTTAAAGCGCTGCTTCTCACCAGGAGTCATTGAGATACAGAACGTGAACGGTAGGACTGTTTCGCTTTATTCACATGTAGTCTTGATATTTGGTACTTTTGTTGTTGTGGTATAATCTAATAATTATAAATTTCAGCAAGGAAGGTGGCTAAAGTTGTCGACAGTCGTTTAGACGCATGCAGCAGAGAAGTTCTCCGGCATGATGACTTGAAGAACTTGGTGAAACTGGGCAGAGTGTGGGATTATTTCATATGTACGTTTACAACTAAAAGCATTGAGTTGGGTTTGTTTGATGATTTGCCTGATGCATTGTCAAATCTTCCTTCTGTGTTGATTTTTTAGTCTCAGTTGAGTCTACGGGGATCCTTCCTCCTGATGTCCTGGTTACTGAGGCCATTAATGTCCTCATCTCTAAATGCCAGAAATTCCTCACAGAGCTTGATACGGCAGAAATGGACTAGATGGAAGAAAATAAGGCCAGTCACACTCATCCCGTAGCTTTGAATGAAGTCATGTGATTGGTTTACTGACACTGTGTGTATAGCTTTTAAAGCTTTAGCTAAAAAACTCCCTTCACAAGTGAAATCATTCAGATTCCAGTGAGCAGTCCGTTATTTAACTTCAGGCCATAACTTAACAGCATTCTGGAAAATGTTTGACATTCATGTTTATTTAAACAAAAATGTATTCCTAAATGAATTCAAGCAGTTTCTTTTAGTCAAGTTAATCCGTTTGGTTTAAGATGTCAGAGCTATATTTGACAAAACACATTTTGGGACATATTTATGTTTTTCCATGTATATTAAACTTTTGTTGTTGACAAAATGACAAACTGTCTATGAATTTTTTATCTTTGTAGGGAACATTTGAACAAAGCACCTTGCCAGAGTCTTATATTATAGTGCGGGTCAATTTGACCCATTTTAATTTTAAAAAGGTTTAAAAAGTTGTTGGAATACTGGTTACCTTTGATGTTTATCTTGAAATGTTGTTACTTTTTCTCATTTAAGAGTCTTGAACATGCCAGCAAAGTGTAGACACTGATATACTGTTTACTGTGCATAGAAAAAATGATGTTTAATCATGTTCAATGCATTTGGCAGTTGCTTTTATCTGAAGAAACCTGCACTGCATTGAAGGCGTACATTTTTATTAGGTTAGGGTTCAGTTTGCTGGGAATCAAACCCATGATCTTGGCATTGCTGGTGCCATGCTCTACTGTGTGCTTTTCCACACTTCTCTTTAAAATGTTAATGTTTTAAAAAATATAGAGAAAGAAAACCGTTACAAAATAGTTTTTTTTTTTTTTGTAAGAAGCATTAATGTTAAAAGTTTGCTGTTTTAAAAAAAATAAATATATATATATATATATATTTTTTTTTACAGTTTTTGACTATGATTTTGTGGTGAATTGTATTGAATCCAGTTAGCCAGTTTGCTTGTACTTCGATACCTAATAAAATCATTTTAAATTATAGGACAGCAAAACTGTTAGACTAGCAATGAAATGTGACTGGTTGGCCATCACACTGCATATGCATACTAGAGTTTTGTTTCAGTTTCTTTTGGATCATCCATCTTCTTAGTTTTCACTAGAAAAAGAAAAGAGCTAAGCGGTTTTTTTTATTTTGCCTGCCTCTATCAATGAAATCAAATGCTGTATCTTGGAAGGAATGGTGGAGGCGACAATCAATTCAGTCTTCTGAAATGTACTTAGATTAATTAGATGTACTCCGCTTGACACTGTTTAACATCTCATTGTGCCAGTAGGACTAAATAATGAAGTACTACAGAGGCGTTTTCCTTTAATCGTTGCAGTGACCTGAAAATGTACCTTTGTGTTCAGTTCAGTGAACTTAGTGAGAGGTGTTTTTGTAGTACTTGCTTGGAAAGTTTCCATTTTAAAAATCCTTATATTTTATACAGATCATCCCCAATAGACATGTAATGATTATTTGCTATCAGTGCTTCTTAAGTGCACATGCCTACGTTCCTGTCTGCTTTGAGTTACATACAAACATGCTGACTGAATTACAAGAGCTAATGTCCAGCATATGCTGCTGTTGCCAGAGGCGGATGTGTCTAAAGTAGCTTTATATTTGCGCTGTAGGGAATTGTTTGGCACAATGAGGGCTGGAGTCAGCACAATGAAAGCATTATGCGTGAAATCATGTTTTTTCTTGCCGGATGATACAAACACCAGAGCACCTGATGAAGTTCATCTTGATTTATGCACGATCCAGATACTTCTCTTTGCATCTAATTCCTTTTGTTGCGTTCGACAGGAGAAGTTCTTTGCTATTTCCGTACACAAATTCTGCCTTTTCCTTGTGCACTTAGTCAAATTTTGGCATATTGTTATGCATTTGCAGTAGATCATTTTGAGCTATGTTCTACCAAACACCCGCCCACCCATACCGCACAAGCAAATACATAATCGCACACAATGTGTACACGTTGAAATTGGGCCAGGTCATCTTTGGAGACGACAAATCCCAGAGGGACGCGGCACAAAAAGTGGGTCACCTTCCATTGTGTGGCTCTCATCATTAGAATGATTCTGCTGAGACTGGAGTCACTTGGCACTCTCCGTTCCTCTCCATCCTGTCTCATTGCTCAGCTTTGCTCTTGGCAAGCAGCAGACACCACTCAAAGTATAAAAAGACAAGAAAAATTTCATATCCTTGTTGGCCAGAGCTGTTGTTTATAAAACATACTGTATTTTCCTAAGCACCAAATTATGGTGTAGGGATCACCCAGTTCCTCAGCCCACTGGGTGGAATTTTCTTTTACACAGCTTGACAGCTCATTAAGATGAAGCTTATTATATTTCTGACTGTCTGGACATTACCATTTTTCCTAACTACATCAGCTTTCCATTGCTAATACAACAAATTGCTTTTGATTTCAGCTAGGGTCAAATAATTTGAATAATGCCTCAATTTTGACATGAATGGCAGTAGAAGTGTAATGCAAGAATATTGGCTGATTTTGGCATTCTCAAAGAACTACCTTGCTGAAAAAGCCTGCTTAAACCAGTCTAAACTGGTTTGCTTGTCTTCCAGATTGGTCAGGCTGGTCTGTTATATCTGGTTTTAGAGGGGTTTTGGGCACGTTTCAGCTGAAAACAGCCAGCTAAAAACAGCTTGGCCAGGCTGAGGACCAGATTAAACCACCTTATTTTTATTTTTTATTGTTTTTGCAATCCTACTGAATAAGCCTGCTTTAAGTACTCTTAAGCGGTTATAAGTTGGTTTTAGCTGGTTTGGGCTTGTCTCCTAGTCTAGTCAACCTATTCTTCAGCAAGTCTCCCAGCCTGACCAGCGTAAAAGTGCCCCAAACCCTTTAAAGCCAGTCAACAGACCTGGCTGGGAGATCAGCAAACCAGATTAGGCTGTTTTAAGATGTTACAGTGTTTTATTGGTTTGTTTAAAGAGGGCATGTTTCAGCTTGTCAGGCCAGAAGACCTGTTGGTCGTTTAGCTAAAAACAGCTTAGCCAGGCTGGGGATCAGTTTAAACCTTCTAAGACCATCAAACTAACTTTTTCAGCAGACTAATGAACATTTAATTGGGTAAATCTGCAGAAAAAACCCCCTCTTAAACTATTCTGAGCTTAAGTAGATGTCCCATCTTAACCAGTTGAAGAGAGCCTAAAACCCCTTTAAAACCAGTCACCAGGGCAGTCTGACTAGGCTGTGAGACTAGCAAACCAGATTAGGCTGGTTTCAGATGATTATTGTTGAGTTTTAGAGGGGATTCAGGCACTTTTTCAGCTATTCAGGCCTGGAGACCAGCTCTCCATTCAGCTAAAAATAGCTCAGCCAGACTTGGAGTCCAGTGTAAACCAGCTAAGACCATCAAACCAAGGGGGGCATTTACACAACAGTTTTCAACTAAAAATGGAAAACTTTTGATGCATTTTGGCCATTCATTTACACAACAACCGTGTTTTGTTGGCTTGGAGACACAAACTTTTGAAAACTGGTATCAAAGTTCAAGTTTTTGAAAACTACCTTTATGATCTCCGTGTAAAGTGCAAAAATGCAAATTTTTGAAAGCGATGAGGTCATGCACATGCGTATTATGTGTTCAGTCTATAGGTACGTACGCACTACGCAGGCACGCAGTGTTTCTTTAAACAGTGACATTGCCAACTACTGGCATGGCATGCATAATACAGTGTTTTTATTCGTTTTCGTAGATCAGTGTGAACTGGGATTGTTTTGACAACGTTGTCGTCTGTATGGAAATCTTTTCAAAAATACAAAGGAAAAACGTCTCAGTTTTTTGTCGTTTGTTGTCGTGTAAACATACCCCAAGTTTTTCTCAGCAAGCCAATAAACCTTTCTCATTTCACAATGCTATATAAACCTTTCCCATTCAACTTAATTAGGCAGACGCTTTGCTTTGTTTAACATAGAGTTTGTAAGGATCCGTCTTCAAATGCTGATTGGCGACCCATTTGGCGTGTTCTCAAATAATCTTCACATTAAGCAGCGTTGGTCCTCATCTTAGGTCACAGGTGGCTGGGCTCCTGGGGCCCAGAACCAGTAGAGTAAATTGAACACAAGGCGCCCGTCCCCCTGCCTACGTGCTCGCCGTCTGAGTGGAACTGTGTATTTCCAGTGAGTGAGAGACAGAATAATGCCGTGCCTTGTGTGCCCCGGCGAGCTATCACTGCTCTGCCGTTGCCATGGTGACAGTGCCCTCGTTGGGTACAGCGGGCTGGAGAAGTTGCTCTGGCTCTGCGTCATATTTATTCCAGTGGATCCGTGCGCTCTCTCCCGCCTCCTCCTTTTGCTCTCCTCTACGTTTTCTCTCTATCTCTCTTTCTCTCTGTCCATGCTTTTTAGGGCTAATTGACCCAGCTCCAGATCATCAATACGTCGAGCTTCGACTACCACAAACAGCACAGACCCCGAAGAGGTAAAATGTGGTGAGGCAAACAATATGGAACTTGATTAGATTAATTTGGTTTTATTGAACTCAGGCTGTTTTAGTATAATAAACTGGCTGCATTTTGTGTTGTTTTCATGCACTTAATTGGATCAAGGGTTGATCGTAGATCCTTCCTCTCTGTTTCTCGACAGCGTGGCAGCACCGGGAACACCACCGTGACTGCGAGCGAAGGTGAGTGAGTGTCAGCGCACCCAGGTAAACATCTAAGCTTCGACAATGGTGGTGTCAGAGGAAAGACAGAGGAGGGATCATCTTTGTTTTCAGCAGAGCTGCGAGTCGGAGTGTGAGCGCGTGTGACTGAGGACGAAAGAGAGGGAGGGAGAGCAGGACCTGATTGTGCAGTCTGTGGTGAAGAGCATCTCCCGAGGCTCAGGGCTTCAAAGCCAATCTGTGGTTCTGAAAACAAAAAGCAATTTCCTACAGCAGTGCAAAGAAACCCTTCAGTGTGAAATTATTCTCAGTGGAGTGGCTCTCTTTGTTCTTCGCTCACTGTGTTTTGGCCCGCAGCTCCAGTCAGCTAAGGAAAGTAAATCAAATGAGTTCATTAAAGGCATTTTAGGAGTAAGTAATCGCAGGGACTGATTTTACATCCGACTGGCTGGTCGTTTGTGTGCATGTGGGATGGAGAGTGTTGTCTCTGTGTCACCATATTGATTTTGAGTGACGGGTGACATGTAATAACAGCGGTGCGATGAAAGCAGTGCCTTGTTCCCTAGATACACCAGATGAGAGTCTGTGAAATCAAGAGGTTGCTGAGGGCTCTCGCACTCCCCCCTCTCTGGAGTTGTCAGGCGGCTTTGACAAGGGACGT